TTGAAAAAGGGGGCGAGGTGCAAAGGGTGTAGAGTAGCACGGAAGCTCGCGAAACGGGAGAAACGAAACGAAACGACGCGACGCGACGCGAGAAAGGAAAGGGGAAGAAACGGTCCGTCCGGGAATAGACTCCGTGTCGAATGAACATGAACGCGGAGCATGGTAGTCAGTTGGCGGCGTCAAGTGTCGTCGGCCGATTAGTCGCGGCCTGTGTAAAGCCAGTCGACAATTTCAAGAGGCTTCTCGCCGGTCCATTCGCCGGAAGAAACAGCCTCGTTCCTTTTTACCAAGCGTGTCATCCGTCTCTGCTTTCGCGGGTCTCGCGCGACGATGAATCTACTACAATGATAATCTAAAAATGTTAGATCACCCAACCAACTATTCGAGGATTTTTTACCCTTTTTGACCATTTGGCGATCCGTTTGCTCAATGGGGGAGACAGACATACTAAAAGACAATTACAATCGGTTATAGATAAAAAATAGAATAAGTTATTAATAGACTGCACAGATATTTGTACAAATTTAAAACATGAGACCCAAGTAAGTATTTAGATATTCTAAAGAGTATATTTCCAAAATTTTTATAAATCTGCAGTGTGTATCTATAAACATAACTTGAAATCGTAATCCTCATCTGTCCCTTTATTTGACATACTTTTCTTATAGAATGTCACGTTGAAGAGAAAGTGCGAAAGAGAATATTAAATGTATCCTCTGAGTAATGTATACAAAAAGAAAAGAATACATGTAAACATGAGCTAATATTTGTTGAATATTTATAGATTAATGATTAATTAGTATATATAAGTTTAGTGTGATATAACTTTTTCGCATTCTATAAACAGCGGTGTATAAATGAATAGTATCAACGATTTAATACGTTGATTTAAAAATGTATAAAAATATTCGATTAAACAAAAAAACTTACTTACTCGTGAATAATTAACGAATTTTTCTAAAAGAGAAAATTTTTCATTACTGTTATCATCATTAATATTGAATTATTTAATTATTATCTGAAAATATGTATTACAAGATTTAAAGTGCAGATTATTTAAAAGAAGAAAGGAAACAAGATTGAAACTGTGAATCATAAAAAAAAAAAAACTGTGGATCATAAAAAAATGTAATTTCTGAAGTTTAAGAAAATGAAGAATCAAGAGAATATCAAACAAATGGGATTGTATTAGATGAATTGTTTTTCGTAATCGCGGTAATCGTTGAGAGGGATGAAGAAATGGTTGATTTGGGAAAATGAGCAGCGCGAGTAAATATCGTATAATAAAAAATGAAATGCTGAATTAATTCTATTGGGAGGACACGCGCATGAACACCAGTGGGAAGATTCATTTCGTAGCAATTTGTTGCCCGAAGCAATTTCTTTCGTAAAAAGTTGGTAGAATCGAAGTGAAAGTAAACGTCGAGTTATAAAATGAACATTAAACAATGTTGTGTATAATGATATCCTACGACATAGGTATTTAATTATGTTTTTTTTTTAATATATACAAGTAAAGTGGAACTGAACAATCGATAAAAAATAATATTAATATTAACATTTATTAATTAATTATTTTCACTATATTTATTCATTAATATACTCAATTAATATATATAT